TTTTTTTTTTTTTTTTTTCTTTTGCAGGCGTTTACCAAAGTGATTCGTAGTTGGGCATGGAAAAAGTTTATGACAGGATGGTTAGTTCTTCTTGTATCCGTTTTTATCGATGATTTCGAATCATTTTGTGCTCCCAATTGATATTTTACTTCAGATAAGTACCTTCTCAATTGATATTTTGTGCTCCCAATTGATAAATAAATAAAATGTAGATTGTAGTTTATTGAATTATTGAGTTTCCTGAATGTTTATTCAAATTAATGTAGCTAATTAATTGATGACAAGAAGTTGAATAAGTAATGCAAGCACACATTACATTTCGTATTTGTACACTACATCTACGTTCGCTGATTGAGTAATATAGCAACATCGACACATTAAACTCGCGCGGTGAATTGTATGTAAACTACTATTGCACGTTAACAAAACGGATGCATAATTAAAGTACTTTCTCCATCGTTATTTTGATAAATCCTTGTTGTTGGTTTCTGCTTAAAACATATATTGGTACTTATATCCAAGCTTTTGCCATGTTCTCTTTAATTCACCATTGCAACGGTCATTTTTTCCGCGATATATATATTGTAGTTCCTTAGTATTTTGGAATGATTTGTGTTATTGCTTTCATTTGACCGTGGGTTTAACATTATTTGTAGTGTGATCTTACTTCCAATTGCCATCACATTCTACTTAACATGGTGGTTCGTTCATTTCGTGGATGGATTTTTCTCGCCAATCTATAGTCATTTGGGGATCAACATATTCGGTAGGCCTAATTTTGTTTCCATTGAAATAATTCATACACCAAGCTTTTTAACAAACATATTTATCACGACATTATTTATACTTATTTAACTAATAATAATCAATAGGTCTTGGATTCGTGACCTCAATAACTTTCATATTTATGGTTGGAGTATTTATGTCATCGTGGGTTGGTGCCTCACTTCTTGCCTTGGGGGAGTGGTTCATTAAAAAGATGCCCCTAATGAGCTACATATATGCCGCCTCCAAGCAAATTAGCGCCGCGATTTCTCCAGGTAAATTACAGTTCATTCATCCTTTATATCGCAAAAGGGAAAATATTCATCTATGTACTTGATCATTTGTATTTTGTTTTTTTTTTTTTTT